TTTTTCATTAATGAGAAAGATTATGATGGCAGCAACAAAATAGTATTTCCGTGCGTAAAATGTACTATCACATAGTGAGACTTTGAACTCAGAATTTCTCCAAACCACAAATAACTTTTTTGTTAATTTATTATCTCTCTCAAATTTCTTTATTTATTTTTTCATTTATTATGTTTAGACACGTTAGTGGACAAATATAGTTCGCTGCAAAGCATCAATTGCATTACAGCTATACACAAAAGAAGGAAACAACTAAGAAAAAAATTAGTACAATTTTTTTAAGATGTTGTTGACATTATTTTTTAATTAAAATTAAAGTTTTTCTTTGGTTATATACGTGAATACATATTAATGATATCTATATTAAATGTAAAGATATAATATCGAAATAAAATTTTAATTTTAATTAAAAAACAACACCATCACACATAAAAAAAACTATCCATAAATTTTTTCCTCCAAACAACTATATATCACTATTCACTTCAATATGTATAATTCCATATCATATGATATCTGTCATAATTTTATCATCCTTATGTTTTTATTGGATTTAGAATTAAATTTGTCCAACTCAATTCAAATCAACACATTATCTTTGTTTCAAAAAATTCAGTCATTCTCAATTCATTTTATTTACCTATTTCGAGAGTCCCACCCAGCTAAATTAGCTATTTCATTGAGAGCAACTTTCCATTTGTTGTAATTGGATTGTCCCTTATGTTTTGCAAAGGCTTGCTCATAGCTTCCAGTTTGCTTCCTCACATGGGATGGATCTATATTGTAAAATACAGGTATCACCATTTGTCCTTGCTTTTTCCTGCATTCTAGAATCTTGCTGAGTTCTTCCAAGCACCATTTTGAGGAAGCATAAGAGTCTAAGGAGAGTGAATCACATGAGAAAGCAAGGGAAATATGTGAACAATTTCCAAAGGAGTGGAAGACTTCTAGAGACTTATCAATGGATAACATAATTGGAAACATCGGTAAGGGTGTTACAACTAGGAGTGCTATAAAAAATATTTGCAACATGGATCTATATTGTAAAATACAGGTATCACCATTTGTCCTTGCTTTTTCCTGCATTCTAGAATCTTGCTGAGTTCTTCCAAGCACCATTTTGAGGAAGCATAGTTCTCAGAGAGAATAACAATAGATACATGAGAATCTTCGATGGCATTGATGAGTGCTGGTGAGATTTCATCTCCCTTTTTAAGCTCATAATCTATAAAGGTTTCAACTTTCTTTTGCTTCAAAGCTTCATGAAGATGGCTTGTGAAGTTCATGCGGGTGTCCTCACCTCGAAAGCTTAGAAAAACGTCATATTTTTTAGGACACACCATAAAAGAAGAGCTAGAGGAAGAAGCAACAACACTGATGATTTGCTGTTCAGCCATTCTGAATTCCAAGTGCTAGCTGCACCTGCATTGATGATAACACTAAACCTATCCTTAATATTATCAGTTGGAATTTCTAAATCATTCTAATATGGGATCAAACACTTTTTAACTTCAAAGTTCATATTCATACTCTTGCTCACTTACGAAAGAACATGAGGACATGTTTTCCAAATTGCTAATGAATTTTTTTTTTTTGGTTTTTCATTAATGAGAAAGATTATGATGGCAGCAACAAAATAGTATTTCCGTGCGTAAAATGTACTATCACATAGTGAGACTTTGAACTCAGAATTTCTCCAAACCACAAATAACTTTTTTGTTAATTTATTATCTCTCTCAAATTTCTTTATTTATTTTTTCATTTATTATGTTTAGACACGTTAGTGGACAAATATAGTTCGCTGCAAAGCATCAATTGCATTACAGCTATACACAAAAGAAGGAAACAACTAAGAAAAAAATTAGTACAATTTTTTTAAGATGTTGTTGACATTATTTTTTAATTAAAATTAAAGTTTTTCTTTGGTTATATACGTGAATACATATTAATGATATCTATATTAAATGTAAAGATATAATATCGAAATAAAATTTTAATTTTAATTAAAAAACAACACCATCACACATAAAAAAAACTATCCATAAATTTTTTCCTCCAAACAACTATATATCACTATTCACTTCAATATGTATAATTCCATATCATATGATATCTGTCATAATTTTATCATCCTTATGTTTTTATTGGATTTAGAATTAAATTTGTCCAACTCAATTCAAATCAACACATTATCTTTGTTTCAAAAAATTCAGTCATTCTCAATTCATTTTATTTACCTATTTCGAGAGTCCCACCCAGCTAAATTAGCTATTTCATTGAGAGCAACTTTCCATTTGTTGTAATTGGATTGTCCCTTATGTTTTGCAAAGGCTTGCTCATAGCTTCCAGTTTGCTTCCTCACATGGGATGGATCTATATTGTAAAATACAGGTATCACCATTTGTCCTTGCTTTTTCCTGCATTCTAGAATCTTGCTGAGTTCTTCCAAGCACCATTTTGAGGAAGCATAGTTCTCAGAGAGAATAACAATAGATACATGAGAATCTTCGATGGCATTGATGAGTGCTGGTGAGATTTCATCTCCCTTTTTAAGCTCATAATCTATAAAGGTTTCAACTTTCTTTTGCTTCAAAGCTTCATGAAGATGGCTTGTGAAGTTCATGCGGGTGTCCTCACCTCGAAAGCTTAGAAAAACGTCATAAAGGTTTCAACTTTCTTTTGCTTCAAAGCTTCATGAAGATGGCTTGTGAAGTTCATGCGGGTGTCCTCACCTCGAAAGCTTAGAAAAACGTCATATTTTTTAGGACACACCATAAAAGAAGAGAATAATCGATTATTTGGGCAATAATCGATTATCTAGTAAGAGGAAACTCAAAAGTCACTGTAATAATCAATTATCTTGGGTAATAATCGATTATCTGGGAATTGGAATCTGAGAAGTCACTGGAATAATCGATTATTCTGTAAATAATCGATTATCTGGGGTGTATAAGGAAAAACTACCTTCTGTAATAATCGATTATCCTTAAAATAATCGATTATCCATATCAGATTGCGTTTTTAAAGAATTTTACTGATGCAAATAATCGATTATTTGCATAAATAATCGATTATCTGGACCGTTTTTAATTTTCTGAAGCATTTTGAAACGGTTATCTATGCGCCAACTCTTAAACTACCCATCACCCTTATATTCAGAAAGTGTTAGGGCACAAGTCATTTCTTAAAACCTCACTTCTCTCATTCGCTCATTCTCTCTCAATCCCACAAACCCTAACCTTCTCAAAACCTCCCAAATCTCTCATCTTCTTCATTTTCCCCAAGACCCATCCATGGCATCTTCTTCCAAAAGGCCAAAGAAGCTTAAAGTGAGGGGGAGCAAGCGTCCTCTTCCCTCTGAGCAGCTGATCATAAAGTGGTTTATGGATGAGAAACCTCAAGAATATTACTTTGAGTGGTACGCCGGTCAGAGAATCATTCCTCCGAAGACCCTGAAGCTTGAGTGGTTCAAGAACGAGGGTTTTAGCTTTCCAACCCTTCTAGAGCACCAGGAGCTGAAGGCATTTTTAGAGATGGAAGGACCCTACTATCCTGAGCTAATCAGGTTATTTCTCTGCTTTGCCTCAACTAATGAAGGGGTTATGCAATCTGTAGTCAAAGGAAAGCTGATCAGGTTGGATGGACGACATTCAAAGCGGCTGCGGGTCTGAGTGGCACCGGAAAGGAGAAACCCCAACCCTTCAACTTTGGGGATTTTGAAGAGCTGACCACATTCCGGGACTGTCAAAGGAACCCGGTGAACACAAATTATGAAAAATTCTTGGCGGGAGGTATGAAAAAGAACTCTCGTTTAATTTCTTTTATTATTGCTTGGATGTTGAAACCCAGGTTACACAATCATGCTCAAATGTCAAGGGATGACATTTTGCTGATGCATGTCATTAAGAAGAAAATTAAGATCGATTGGGTATCGGTTGTGAATGACTGTATATGGAAAGCAAGGAGAAAGGAAGATGGTCCGATTCCTTATGCTCTTTTGCTATCTAAAATTTTTGAAAATGCTGGAGTAGATTTAACAGGTGAAAGGAGAATTGTGTTGCATGCTTCAAATAAAATTGAGAAGTCTTCTTTGCATCACATAGCGATGCTCAAGCAAGAAGACAAGTGGGTGTTTAAAGGAGATGTACCTCCTACCCCAGAGCCAGCAACAGATGAGGATGGTGTTCCTTCCCATGATGAGGATCAGCCACCACAGGTGGAAGCTGAGCCGAGCAAGGAGTCTGAAGCGGAACCAAAACCGTTCTCACCATTTGAGCAAATCATGATCAACAAGATGGATGCGATGATGGAAATGTCAAGAAGACATGAATCCTTGTTTTCTGGAATTCTTGACAGATTTGATGATTTGGATCATGAAGTTAGGCTGATCAAGACCCAGCTTGGCATTCCGGAGGATGAGGCTTGATCCGTGTTCTGTTTCTATTTTTTTTTTTTGATTAGTGTTAATCAGGATTTTTAATTCTAGTTTGGAACAATTTAGTTCAATATGGTTGTAATGATTTTAATTTCTGAACAATTTTAATGTTTTTGTTGTTGAACAATTGAAATTTGATGAATTTGAAGTTTGGTTTGCTGATGTGTTGGCTTGATTGTGATTCCAAAGTCTGATTTGGAATGCTGGTGCAAAATGCTCTGTTTTTGTGAGCATATGCGTTGTTATTTTGGTTTTGATTGGAATACTCTATTTTTTTGATATTGTGGAAGTGACTATCTTGACTTAATTTGGTCTGAACTATGGCTAATTGGTGCACGAATGAGTTGGTTTGGGTTGCTGAACCAAAGTTTTTTTTCTTGGCTTATACATGACAAATTGCTGGACATATTTTATACATGGCTTATAATTATAAAACTTGGCTTACTTTGTTTTTGATAATGCCAAAGGGGGAGAAATGGTATGGTGTGTGTATAGTTGTTGTTTTTGCAGGAATTGTGCTTGTGTGTGTGTGTATTGTGCAGGTTGTAATTAGGCACAATGGCTAAGAAGTTTCAAGCACAACTGCATTGAGTCAAAAGAAGTGAATCATGGGATGTCATGGGTTGTCATCATCAAAAAGGGGGAGATTGTTGAGCTTAGGAGAGCTGGAAACTTAAAGAGTTTTGATGATCACAACAAGTGTACAACAACAACTTGGAGCACAAAAACAAAGTTAAAGAATCAAGAAAATGCTATGAAATGGAGCTACGTAATAGAACTTAGGAAATAAATTGTTTTGAATGAGTTTTTATATTGTGTGTGCTAAGTATGCTTTGTGCATAAGCAAATCTTATCTAAACCAAGTAGAGAGTAGATGATGATGAGTTAAAAGCATTGGAAAGTTATTTTGAGACTTAAAATGAAGTTTTAAGAACTAACTCAAAATAATCGATTATTATTAAATATAATCGATTATTTCAGCAAATAGGCTAAGTGGAATGCCTTGCTGTAATAATCGATTATTTGCCAAATAATCGATTATTTCAGGAACAACTCCCTGGAATAATCAATTATCCAGCTAAATAATCGATTAAATTGTTCTTGGTTGATTTCCAGAAAATTGAAGAACAAAATAATAGATTATTATTTAAAATAATACATTATATGGGTATGAAAATTTTATAAATAGTTTAAACTTTGAGAAACTTCAGACAATGAGTTAGAACTGATAATCAATTTGTGAAAAATGTTTTTGTGAGTCTTTGTAACATCTTGGAGAGTTTTATTTGTGAAATCCAAGGGTGAAAACGTTTGTGAAAAGCTTTGTTAAAAGATCATCATCATCATATTCTTGAAAGGGGAAGATAAAGATTTGTTCAAGAATTCCAGGTGAATTCGTTCCTTTTATTCTTTGTGAATCTTTGTGAAAAATCTTGAGAAGGGTTTCTCAAGTAGTAAGGTTTCTTGTAGTGGGTTCTACAAGGGGTGCTTTCTTGGGGTCAAGAAAGTGGTTATCTTTTAGTGTTGAAGTATATGCATGTGTGTGTGCTTGTAAACCTTCTTGCTTAAAGATAGTGGAACAAATCTTAATCAGGTGTTGATTAAGGACTGGATGTAGGTCACATGTGGAGTGGCTGAACCAGTATAAAAGACTTGTGCAATCTTCTTCTACCTTATCTTTTACTTTGTGTAATTTCTTGGTTGAGCTTTAAAGAAGATAAAACTTGATTAACACGTGTATTGAATCTTGATGGTTTAAATCTGTAATTGAACATTATTGTTGAACCTCATTATGTTGTAATCAAGTGAGCATATTTCATTCATATTATCATAACAAGTCTTTAGAAGAGCTTCATTTGGAAATTCTGTCATAGAAAAGTTTTGATTGAGATTAAGATCCAAAAATACTCTGATAAATTTTTAAAGGGTCATTGAATCCAATTCACCCCCCCTCTTGGATTGTGCCATTCTTTTCTAACACTCACCTCCCAATCCAGTATACGACAAAGCCATGAGGGAAAGGTCTGGAGAGACGGTACTCACCTCCCAATCTGGTATATGACAAAGCCGTGAGGGAAAGGTTTGGAGAGACGATACTCATCTCCCAATCTGGTATACGATAAAGCTGTGAGGGAAAGGTCTGGAGAGACGGTA